ACGTTGTGATAAATATGGCGACAAAGATGAGGACAATAGTCCGAATAATGTAAAGTGTGTAGAGCAATAAAAATGCAAAGAGATATACGGATGGTTTATAGATTATACAAAAGCGTTTGATAAAAAAAAAAAAAAAAATCTTGACATATTTGAGAAGATTATTAGAATAATACAAAACTGGGAGCAAACCACCTGAAAATAAAAAAAATAAAAATTCAGTAAACACGCAAAGGCATAAGGAATGAACGAAAATGGTGTATTTCATGAGTAAATTTATTCGTGAGTGGACGAGTCGATATACAATGGTTTATTATTGGCGGTCGCATTTTTAAAGTAAGATATGCGGATGACATATTTTTGATAGCAGACACAGAATGGAAATTATATCAAGTAATGACGAAAATTTGAATATCTAGGAAATGGTTAATCAATTTGTAAAATGTGATAACGAAATCTGAAGCAGTAATGTAATAATAAAATATATCTTTAAAACGTAAATATTAAGAAAAATATTCTCAGCATCCTTCTGCAGAACCACATTTCTCTTGTTTCAATTCTCTCTTTCATCTCTTAGGAGAGTATCCACCATTCACAGCCATATAGGAGAAATTATATTGCATAGTAGTTCAGAAATCTTTTCTATGTCTGTAACTACAGATTCACTTGGTCGGTCAGTGAAGATTTAAGATTCATGCCATAGTTTTAATTTTGTGAATTCAGTTAATCTTCATTAATCTTCATCAAGAGCCTGTTTGTATGAGCTGAATAGAAACTCATTTAAATCACAAGTCAGAATCATTTATAGCACATTAATTTTTATCACATTGGCGCTTCTCTATTGAATTAAACATCAAGGTCGGGACAACAGCCCTTAGTGTGTCTTTATTACTATAGGGCCTTTTGTAGTTTTCCTTTTTTTTTCTTTAAAACTATTTTTCACCCAATATAAGGCCAACGAGCCAATCAAGAAGCCTTCATTCTGGAGTCTGTTCCACAAAGAAGCGGCTCTTGGGAAGAATTTCTCCGAATGGAACTTCTTTCTTAGTAACAGAATACTAAGGAAATGGTTCATGATTTGTTCAAGTGTACGTGATATGGTGGGTATCAGCTGTAAACGTCTGAACTTGTGAAACAAATAAATGTAGCTCGTCAGAATATTTACCATGGAAATAGCGATAGGCTCGCGACGTTCCGTCTGTGAAAATATTTAATCACTCAAAAGGCAGCATAAACACTTTTAAAACCTATCAAGGCGGGAAAATGAGGATTAGGCAGATCCGGAAAATGTATGGCATCACTACTCCGTTTTTGATTTGATCATAACAAGAGGAACCAGGTAGATTTGGAGCGATACAGGGAAGCGACTCTTTTGCCAGCATATTTAATAATAGATCGTATATATGAGTCAGCATAATTTGTTCATGGAGAGCTCTGAGATATGCATGAGATGATCGTAAATATTCTCGGGTAATCACTCTTGCGTAACGTGATTTAGAGAAGAAAGAAAGCAATATGATTTTCTCGGGTGTGGTCAGCTTCAGAAAGTATTTCATCCAAAACTGTTCTTCCAAGGCTTTTTCAGATATTAATTGACTTCTCATCAAGTACGGTTTGTACATGATGTCCGCGTGAAACTTGACAAGGGATTGAGCTGATCCTTGACGATGGGTTTTATCAATAGACTGGGTTTAGTGATTATAAGTGTTCTCAACTATTCTTAACATGTCTAACCAATTCGTTCCAGAACATGAACAAGAAGGGTCCGTCATCTTCATGAAGTTGTTTATCTCTAAATCACGTTGCTTGGCAACTGTGTGACGTATTTTTTTACCTGTAAATGATTGCAACCGGGCATCTAAATGTATTCGATAAATTTGAAAGAGAATGTCAAAATTTTCGGAATACCTCGTAAAAAATATTGTCCCATTTATAAACTGCTGAAGGTTATTAAATATATGGCGCACATTTTATAGGACTAGTACATCTAAAAATCCTTCATTCCTTTTTCCGGTGCCATGTGTGATGCACACTTGGGCAATCATGTCTCTTTTTGTGTCATGATTTGTTTGGCCGATGTATTTTCGTAGTCGACTGCCGTTACTTATTGCGGTCAACTATTTGCCAACCAAGACTGGAGGGCACAAATCTGTTCTACTTAGGAGGAGAAGAAATAGATTCATACATTACCGAAGCGTGAATATAACGAACTCAGCTAGAATTCAAAATAAGCACAGGAATTTCCCATTCTGAGCCATGATCCATCACATGTACCCGGATCCAAGCTTACAGCACCCGGTATTCGCAAGTGATCACCTACCTAGGCACTGGTGAGGCTCAATGTTACTTAATTACGCTGATCGGTTGAGAACCTGTCTTACAACGTGATATCGTCTTTAACTATAAAAGTACACGTAGATAAAATTGGTGCATTACAGGAAGCTAATTTCTTCCCCGTTACAGATAAGAAACTACGATGAATAATTAAGGGTTTGATAGTGAAATGAAAAGACCCTCAGAAAAGTAATAAAACCTTTTTCTTTCCCCTTGCATAATGGAACAAACAACGTAGAACCTGTCTATACGTTATACAAATTTAATGTCTATCAAGGCGGTTAATACTGTCTTCCAAAGTACGTATTAACGTTTAAATTCTATTTTCTGCCATTGGACTGAACAAATAGCTTACTTTCTGCATATATTCTGAGAAATGTGTGAAAAATATTGCAGCATTCAAAATAATAAAATGGCTGATATAAAATATCTGAAAACATGAATAACTGAAAACTAGGATAATATTTGATTTCTTTATTCTGTTGGCTAAATTTTGTTCAATAATAGCAATGATCAGCAGAACAAGTGGACAATGAGGTCAACAGCCAGCGGCGTCTGTCTTTTTCATGCTTGAACGCAAATCTTCAGGCCATGTGTATTGTGTTTTGGCTCGGCTATTTATATATCTTTGTGCATTATGGGTAGAATATATATTATATTATACTAACGGTTACCCTAACGTTGAAACCCACCCATTAGCCGTTAAGAGAATAGAGTAGGATGATACAACACGCATGGATTGAAAATTGCGTTTAAGCATGAAACCGACTGTTGCATCTGGGTGTTGACCACAATGCCCACTTTAATATTTACATACGCTCTATTCTTGATATTGAGCCCTTTGACCCATAAATATAGCATACCGTAAAAATATATTTTTATCATATCTATCTATCTATCTCTCTCTCTCTCTCTCTCTATATATATATATATATATATATATATATATATATATATATATATATATATATATATACGTGTGTGTGTGTGTGTGCAAGTATAGGGTTGGTGTATACGGAATAAATTTCAATAAACAAAAACTACTATTCTTAAAAGAGTGCTCAATACAGAGTAAAGCAAATATAATTTATTCGAAAATTCTAGCATAAATAAGTTATAAAATCACTAGAAAAATAGCCATTTTGTTTCAACACTTCTGGTGTCGTATCAAGTTTTGGTGTTGAATTCAACGCCATTACTGGGTAACACACCAGAAGTGTTGAAACAAAATGGCTATTTTTGTAGTGATTTTATAACATATTTACGTTAGAATTTTCGAATAAATTATATATATATATATATATATATATATATATATATATATATATATTATATAATGAATCTTTCATTACGAAATTAAAAAAAAAAGAATGTTATGAATTATGATAAGAATCCAGAACGTAAAGGAGCGAAATTAGGATAAAAATTACAAAGATAAGGATACAAGAGTAAATCAATTGACGCTCATTATTCTGGTATGTTCGTTATATTGTTCATTGGTTGATCGTCTGATGGCGTTCCCCAATCGTTTGTACCTGGATTCATCGTCCGTGCTATGAAAACGGATCTACTTAGTTTTTCCGATATATCACATAGAAGAAGAAAAAAATGTTGTTTGCTCTGAAATTATTCTAACCGGCCCGTACACCACAGCTAAGTACATCTATGAAATTTAAAGGTCTGCCAATACGAAACATGGACAGTGGATGACTGGAGTAAAGTTATGTTTTCAAATGAATTTACACTGCAGCAGTTCATTATGCGTAAAAAGTAACATCATTTTTAAATCAAGTCTCCTGACAATCACACAGTAAGGACAAGATAAGTAAACAGATGATTTTCTTTATTACTCCACACACACACACACACACACACAAGTACACATGCACAAACAGACACACACGCATTGTATATATATATATATATATATATATATATATATATATATATATATATATATATATATATTATCCACAGACAGACTGTTTTGCTGTATCACAGCCCATCAGTGTGTTAGACATCTGATTCCTACAAACCGGATCTAAACCCGACTGAATAATAAATTTGAATATCAGTGTGTCTTTGTGTGTCGCAGTTTTTCAACTTTTCTCTAAAGGCCGTACCCCAACATATCGTAGCAGTTAGGAATCAAGAAAACTCATTACTGCGATTTTAGAAGGCGTGGTACGTGGAATTGGAATAATCTATTCCTGTGGACTAAATATGGGGTTCGATTCGAAATTCCATCGTGCAACACCTGAAGAAGGCCGAGTCGTTTAACGACCGGAACGTCGGAAATATGGCAATAGGCATAAGTCCGAATGATGTAAATAGTGTAAATCGCTACATTATTAAGCCTGTAATTCTTTTTTGTAGAAATTTTGGTAGCGAATAAAAGTACACTTTTATTAATTAGCATAGATATATGCATTACCAAGAGGTAATAATTTGTTGTTTTTTTTTCTGCTAGACTTCCGTAATATATACTGCTATGTATTTAGGATTTAGCCCAATATCGCTGTGACATTGAGCTAGCTTTGAAAGATTGCATGAAAAGAAAAAAATGAATCGTCTCCATTCTCACTTGACAGTATATAAGTCTGCCATCAATTTCAGAATTTTTCAATCTTCTTTGGCCATTTCCAAAGATATCTCGGTTCCAGTCGCATATGGCTTCAATATGTCTCTCTTCACACCTGACAACCAAAACGCCCCAACAGCTTCTCTTTCATAAGCCATTTGTCCACGCTTCCTGGGGCGGACATTTCTCCGACAAATATAAGTGAAGAGATTAGACATTTCAGCATAAAAGAGTCGAGGCCCACCTCCTCATTTTTCACTTCTCCATCTAAAACCAATTACGAGAAATTGATTTATTTTTTCTTAATTTGTCTCCAGTTATCACATAATGGCGGAATTTTGCCAATGTGGAGTTTTAAGCTACTTCTTAAAAAAGTTTCTTTTTATTTGGAGACAGATTTACTGTTATACTTACATTAATCTCTTTCTCTCTCTGTCTCTCTATGACTCTCTGTGTCTCTCCATATATATATATATATATATATATATATATATATATATATATATATATATATATATATATATATACAATTGTATGTGTCGCTGTGTGTTTTGTGAGAGTATGTGCATGTATGTGTCAGTAAGTATGTGTATGTGTGTCTATCCGATTGTACGCTGGTCTTTCATTTACATTATTTAAATTGTTCGGATCTCTTATTATCACCATTCTTGGCATATTCACAACGTTATGCCATTTTACGCTCCAGCCTTTTTCCGGTGATTTGAATTGCGAACTAAATCCTTTATTTCGCCCAGAGGGGTTGACTGTTCTAGTTCTACGTGCCATACCTCTTCCGGGTGTCCCAGTTATCGCAATTTACTTTGTCTTTCCTTCTCTCTCTCTCTCTCTCTCTCTCAGTATATCTATCTATCTATCTATCTATCTATATCTATCTATCTATCTATCTATCTATCTATGCGTGCGTGTGTGTGTGTGTGTATGCGCGTGTATCTGCGTGCGTTCGTGCGAGAGAGAAAAAGAGAGTGTGTGCATATATATATATATATATATATATATATATATATATATATAAAAAATAAGATAAGAACAAATGGAGCATAATTCCACTGCCTGTAACATTTAATTTAAAAGAGGGCTTGATAATGCAAATTCCAAGATAAATACTGTTGATAATGTTAACCAATGTAATTGCTGGAATTCTAACAAATGATCACTGCAAAACCAATGTATGATGAATTCTCTTGTTTATCTAATACAATAGAAAATACGACTATTGAAAAATTTTATATTGGGAGTATTAAGAATTATTTTAAGAGTAGATGGCACCAACATATTTTATCCTTCACCAACAGTACTTAAAAAATAGTACACCTCTTTCTCAATACTTTGGAATTTAAAAGAAGTTAAAACTCCTATAGTAAAATGGAAATTTTTTAAACAAATAACTAGAACTTGTAGATCTTTAAATAAACCTTGTTTTTATGATTTCATGAAAAAATAGAAATTATCATATTTATTGATAAAGACTCCTTATTAAACTAATTGTAAATTGTAGTCATAGGTTACCATTTACCTTACAATATGGTTAAACTTCGAATTTGATAATATTTTTCTTACTGTAATAATTGGTAGATATACAGTGGTGCCTTATTATCAACTTCCTGCTTCATGGCGGTTGGACAAAGGATTCGATAAAATGTCAGCAAGAACTTAAGATGGATCACGATGATTAACAACTGATTTTGCCAAATCCGATTTTGATATATTCACGTAAGGTTATTTTTTTCTTTGTATGTTCACAACTTACATTAATAAACTAAAACAGCCATAAGTTTTATTATGCAATTAATTTCTCCCAGCCTTTCATATATACTAACAAACGGCGTTTGCAACATTAGCAGTAATATTTATATATTTGCATGATATTTTAAAAGCTTATTTTAATAAATATTTCTTCTGTTTCATTTATTTTAATTCAGATGATAAAGATTGCCATATTTCAATATTCTTTTTAAAATTAATCTTCTTTTTATAGATATAATTTTTATATATTTTGTTAAAATTCAATCGTAAGTTGAATTACCTACAGACATTGTGGTTGCATGATATTTGTACAGATTAGTCGAATGGAGCTGAAAAAATCTTATGAATTATCGAAGTTAAAATAATCTGTTTAAACAATTTAAAAAAAAACTGTATTGAATTATTTGCAAAGGGGGAAAACAAGAGCAAATTTGTTGAACAAATTATTTATAATAATAATTATTAATAGTAATCTATTATTTCCAGTATAATCATATCAAAAATGTTAAAACTTTTCTCTCGTGGTCAGCGCAATGTAGCTATATTCAAAGTAGAAATTTCAATTGTAATTGGTATAATGACAAATAGAACTTTAAAGAATAGATATTTTGCTGAAAATGTTGTTTATACCGAAATTACAAAGAGGTAAGAGATCGTCTATGGAAACTTAAATTCGTAAGACAGAGATACGACTGTTAAAGATAAATGTAACATTAAAAATAGATTCAACAAAATAAAGGAAAAAAAAAAGAAATTAACATTATATAACGAGTCGACTATAGTAACAAACATAGATATATTGAGAGTTTTCTCCATTAACTAATTATCCACCACCATTCCGCTATCACTTCACGCATTGCTCGTGATGTAAAAGTCATTTTTCTATTGCCTTCAACACGCCCTGAGTGACTAAGTAACTTCAGTTAACTTTTTCTGATTCTGACACATGTGTGCTTTTTGTCGCCATTTTAAGACTTCTTTGTGCTTACTTGCTTTGACCATTAAATGCTCAGTATCCTTCTGTAGAGCAGTTTTTCCGTTGCCTCCAATTTTCTACTCTTCCGTGGGGAGATTGTCCTGCATTCACTGCCATATATATTACATAGCAATCCGGCACACATTTATTTGTTTCTAGAGATTTTGTTCTGTTTCTCAGCATTTTGATTAATTATATTAATAACAGATATGCGGATATTTTAGTATTTGGGAAAAATTCAGCAATTGTGAACTTTTGGGTTATTAGTAATCATTTCGAAGGATCTGATTGTAACCGTTTGAAAGTTGGCATTTGCATGCCATTATTTTAAGCACACGCAAATGCATACACGCACAACACATTTTTCGTTATTTATCTAATGAAACTGTTGAAGGCGAAATGCATTATCCGATATTATTTTCGGGACATAGTTTTCATGAAAGTTTTCCAAATGTCAATAACCTATAACACTGTCGGGATTACATACCCAAATTTATCACATAGGTAGGCATACGAGCTAGCGATCGTATGCAAATATATATAAATACTCTATAGTGTAAGAAAGAAATAGTGCTCAATGTTTATTAACAGAGCTATTTATATATTCATAAATATACATAAAATCTTACATTACTTTAAGATACTATGTATATTTCTTAATATATATATATATATATATATACATATATATATATATATATAATGTGAATATTGTATAAAATATGGTGATATGAAAATAGATATTAACATAATCTAGTATTTTTTTGTAATTGTGCTTATAACTTAATGTATTTTTTGTAAATGAGTTTATTAATATGCAACCATATCTATGTAAATTATACGTAAATTATTGTGGATATATGTATATATAATTAATTTCTTTTCATATATATATATATTATTAAAACGAAGTTTCGGCATTTTCCATGTTATGGTTTAGATCAAGAAAATTCCTGTAGTACGTTATCGTATTAGGGGTTATTTATTTTTTTTTAAGCCCCTTTTAACTTCGCATATTATTTACTTTAACTGTAAAGATATTTGAACAGTGAATTTTCGAGATTTTTTTTACATTCGATACATATTTAAATATAAATTTATATCGCTGTTTTATATTGGTTACATTTTAAATTGTTTTTGATATTTTCATGGCAATTTATTTTTATATTGAGATTTCAAAACTGAAGCATTCCTTGTGTAGCTATTGCACGGAAAATATTTACTTTATTTAACTTCTGGGATATTTCGTCAGTGTTTTGTGGGATTGGCAAATTCTACTTAGTTGATTTCTGATCCCTATTTAATGTCCCTTCTTTGACTTTCATTGTCTAATTTATAGCTGCTTTTTTTTTAAAAAAAAAAAGAAAAAAAAAAGGGACATTCAACCAATAAAAATTTGATCAAACAAGTTATATCCAACTCGACTGACAAGATGTGTCTCTTTAAATATTATTACATTTCACTAGATTGCGTATAAGCTGTCGTACATCCAGATCAAATTTACAGAGAAACTCTCCAAAGTCCATGTTTTTCCTCCGGTATATTTGCTTTTATCTCGTCATTATCAGGAACGGTAATTTTGATAGTTACAGTAGAGAAAGATTTATATTAATTTTACACAAGGATATTATTGTAGAAATACATGTGTAGAATGCAAATGACATACTGGGTAGAAAAGATTATAAATATATATTTTTTTTTCTTTTTCTCGTCAGAATTCATCTTGCACATTTCGAAATCTAGCCATTCGTCCGTGTATTGAATGCGTCACATTGTTCGATTCTTATAGTTTCTTTTCTCACATTTAACACCTGTGGAAATGTTAAATGCTTTTAATGTGGTAGTATTCATTAGTGCAGTCTAACACATATTTGTGATTGTCTTGAGTTCTAGCAAGGTTAAGAAACATATTACTAATTCTGATATTCAAAGCTGGCCTAATCTCTCGACTTGGAAGTTTGACAATTTCTTTCTGAATTTCTGTCCTGAGACGTTATCATTATTCGAATTATGTATAATAGGGCTCATCTTTTTTGTTAATAAGACAAAGTCGACCGTTCTTCCCTCTCACTGTCACCTGTTGCTTAACTTCAGGGAAATCCAAATTGAACTCTTTATTTAATCCTGGTAAACTCGACCGAATAAATTTAAACGTATTACTTGATTCGCAAATAGGTCTCAATGGTTTACTGTTGAAATGACTAGATTTAACAGCAAGTTCTATTTTAATACTTCCTTTTCTCCCATTTCTCACCTGTTAAACTTTCTACCGATTTCTTGTTTCCATGTCATTTTCAACCGTCAAAAATTTAAATGCACTGTCAATCGCCATTTTCTGTCTTTCTGAATTATTTTTTTTTCATCATTTCACTCTAAGTCAGAATGCTGCTAATATGCACCTGGATACAAGAATGAAAGGAGGAGAAAAGACTGGATAGAGGAGGGGAATTGAGGAATGGTAAAAGCAAAAACGGGTGCATGGCGATGATGTATATAAAGTTTTGAAGATTGTAGTTATCAGGGAAACAAATAAACGGAAGGGAGTTCCACATGCGCGAAGTGCACAAAATAAGCTGCTGGAGTAGAAGTGGCGGTTAGATTTATTTATTTCAACAGTAAAAGTGGGGGGGACCTAGATGCCGATCTAGCAGCACGGTTAAATTGACGTTGATGAGGCATGAGTAAAAAAAATTGTTCGTCAGAGCAGTTGCCATGAAAATATTTATAGAAAAGACAGAGGGAAGCTACATGAACTCAGTGCCCTTCTTTATTTTACCTTCTCACTAACGTCTTTTCGTTCTCTTGCGTCTTAAGGTTATTTTCGCTTTGCTCGCTGTAAAGTGACTAAGATAATTAGTTTTAAAATATTCGGCAGTTCGGAAACACAAAACTTAACAGAGACTAAGGAAGAAAATATTAAATCATAATATCAAGTAAAATCATCAGACAATTTGAACGGTATTTCCGTAAATTTGATCTTCTTGTGTGACAGTTTAGAGGTAAGCAAGAAACATTTATAGTGTTGAAATAAACAAGCCTTATCGCTCAATTTCAACAAAACTTATTTGACCATAAACACACGTGCATGCATCTGTGGGCGCGCGTGTGTGTATGTGGGAAGAGGCCAGCTACAGTGTCGTGGCGATCAGCGTGATAAATAGAATAGACAAAGTGTCGGTTTTA